GAGCATCTGTCGAGAGAGGAATAGATTGAATGCCTTGTGTCCAGTATGACTCCTCTTTAGAACAGAGGAAGTTGGAAAATGGTGGCTTTTGCTGCAGACAGAGTGGGAGGAGGAGCAAGTGGGACACACGGTGAGGGTGCTCAGAAACAAGGTCAAAGGGATTGATAATGGTGATGATAGTGCTGCAAAATGGGTTTAAACGGTAGGTGTGTAAAGAAGAAAATGGATCAACTCTGCTGAGGACAAAGTCAACAAGACATGACCAGAGGAGGGTGGTGGGGTAAGAAAAATGAAGGACACAGGGCATGCTCTAAAGTCGTAGAACTCAATATTAAGTCCTCAAGGACTCCAGCAGGAAACAGCCAGCAAATACATCTGCCCCTCCCCGTCACTGTGAGCATTCTAAAAGGACTGTTTGCTCTGTGACACACTGGTCCACTTCTCCATCATTGCTAACACACCCCCATTACACTTTGCTGTGTAACCAGAGAGAGTGTAACACTTGCCCATTCACCTCCTCTGTCCTGACTGTCCAAGGCCCCAAACACACCTTCAGGTGAAGCAGCATTTCACTTTTAGTTCTTTCAAACTAGACTACTGTATTCGCTGATCACAATGCGGGCTCCTTTGCAATGGTGAGACCAAACATTTTCTGGTTAACCGCTTTGTGGAACATTTCCATTCTGTCGATAGGAGAGATCCTGCCCTCCCAATTGCTTGCCATTTCGATAAACCACCTTGCTTTCATTTGAACATTTCTCACCTGGGCCTGCTGTCATGTTCCAACAAAGCACAATATCAGCTTGATAAATTACACCTCATATTCCGCTCAGGCACTTTACAGCTTTGAGGTCTCAACACTGATGAAGCAACTTCAGAACATGGCCTCTCTCTTCCATTTTGATCACAACCCACATACGATGCTGTCACCCACTCCCCAGCCTTGTTGATTTTGGTTTAGGCAGGTGAACTCTTGTTTTCCTTTTGTCACCTCCATTTACCTCTATTTTATACCTCTATCTCTACTTCATCACCATTATCTCTCCATTTGTCTTTTGATCCTCGGCATTCTTATCATTTTTCCCACTCAGTCCGTCTCCCCCTCTGTCCACAGTGTAAAAAAGTATGATTTTAAAGCCCCTTTCAATTCTGAAGAAGAATCATACTGGACTCAAAATGTTAATTCTGTTTTTCTCTGTCCCCAAATCCTGCCAGACCTGCTGAGTTTCTCCAGCAGTCTGTGTCTGTGTGTTCCAGATTGTCAGACAATTTCCTGAGTAATCCTTTCCCACTGGCTTCTCTCCAAAGCATCGTCTCCACACCATCAGTGGAAGCTGCATTGACAGCTTGATGAAAATTGTATCGAATCAGTGCTGGGGTGTTAAACTTGCCAGTCTTAGCACCTTAAGACATATTTAAACAGTGACAACCATTATTTAGCCTGAACGGGTTAAATGTATGTGTTAAAGCTCAGCTCTCAAACAGGTATCTTAGGTTTGTACAACATCCATTCAATATCTGTTTTTCACCCCCAGCCGATGTTTTACCACAGTGAGGAGGCCTATTTCAGAGATTAATCGGTAATGTGCTCATCTGATGCATTTGGTTCAAAGTGTGGTTTGAGCACGTAGTTTTGGTTTTATTTACTGGTAAAATAATTTGAATTGACCAACTGAAATAATTGAAGTGACCAGGAAGGGGCAGGGCGGTAGACATAGTCTATTTGAATTTTAGTAAGGCCTTTGATAAGGTTCACATGGTAGGCTGTTCTGGAAGGTTAGATCACATGCAATCCAGGGAGAGCTGGCAAATTGGATACACACTTGACTTGATGGTAGGAAGCTGAGGGTAATACTGAAAGGATGCTTGTCTGACCAGAGGCCTGTGACTAGTGGTGTGCCTCAGGGCTCGGTGCTGGGCCCATTGCTGTTTGTTATCTATATCAATGAAATGGATGAGAATGTACGAGGCATGATTAGTAAGTTTGGAGATGACTCTAAAATAGGTGGTACCGTGGACAGTGAGGAAGGTTATGAGAAATTGCAGCAGGATCTTGATCAACTGGGGAAGTGGGCTGAGAAATGGCAAATGAAGTTTAATATAGACAAGTATGAGGTGTTCCATTTTGGAAAATCAAATCCAGGTAGGAGCTTCATGGTGAATGGTAAGGCCTTAAGGAGTGTGGTGGAAGAGAGGGACCTTGGAGTTCAGGTGCACAGTTCTCTGAAAGTGGAGTCACGGGTAGAGAGGGCAGTGAAGAAGGCTTTTGGCGCACTGGCCTTCATAGTCAGGGCATTGAGTATAAAAATTGGGAAGTTATGACACAGTTGTGCATGACGTTGGTGAGGCTGAACTTGGAGCATTGTGTTCAGTTTGGTCACCTTACAACAGGAAGGATGTTATTAAACTGGAAAGAGTGCCGAAGAAATTCACAAGGTGTTGCCAGGACTCAAAGGACTGAGTTATAGGGAAAGGTTGGATAAGCTAGGACATTTTTCTTTAGAGCATGGGAAACTGAGAGGAGATCTTATAGAATTGTATAAAATCATGAGAGGCATGGAAAGGGTGAATACACTTAGTCTTTTTCCCAGGTTTGGGGAATCAAGGACAAAGGGCATCAGTTTAAGGTAGGAGGGGAAAGAATACATGGGAATCTGAGGGGCAACTTCTTTACACAGAGGGTGTTACACATATGGAATGAGCTGTCAGCAGAAGTGGTTAATTCAGGTACATTAATAACATTTAATTGCATTTGGACAAATACATGGATAGGAAAGGTTTAGAAGGATATGGGCCAAGTGCAGGGAAATGGGCTTAGCATGGATGGACATTTTGGTCGGCATGGACCAGTTTGGGCCAAAGTGCCTGTCTCTTTGCTGTAGGACTGTATAATCCTATGACTCCCTATGACTCTAAATTGCCTGGGGGCAGAGGTGGTTGTAGTGGCCATCACTAAAGAGAAGGTGCTGGGGAAACTAAAAGGTCTGAAAAGGATAAATAACCTGCACTAGATGGACTATACCCCAGGGTTCTGAAGGAGATAGCTGAGGATATGTTTACTGATTGACACAGAATAAAATGTTGCAAAATGGCTCAGAGAGATGGGGAGAGTGTGCACAGGCTCTTGGGCTGGATTGGAGGTCCCAACATAGTCAGCGAGATGTCCCGAAATTGGAGGAGGGAATCCAATTCTCCTCATCCTATTGTACTACCTGTGCTATCTTCTGCAGGACCTGGTACCTCTTTGCCTGGCTTCCTTTACTTCTCCACATCCTTCTCCAGAGCAACTTAGCAAGATAGCCATGAACAAGCCCTTCTACTGCTAATTCCTACAAGATTCCCAGCACGATGGCATGACACAGCACTCACTGTTTTCCAGAAAATTTCAAAAAAAGTATTGAGTGATGATGAAGTTTTGACAAAGAGTCCAGAAAGTTTTCTGTCATGTTCTAGGGCTCCCCTTTATGACCACAGCAGAGAGTCCATGCTGAGAGATAATGAACCTTTTACACAATGGTCAAAATCCTCTGCAACACAGTGCTTACTCCCAATTAGCTGGCCACTACTGGGGACTTGTTTTGGTGGAGGCCTCTCCCACTTACTGACCAGCCTTGTCAATGACAGAAAATGGCCATTAGTGGCAGCTTGCTGTTTGAGTGCTCAGGAGAGTCGTTCCTGGCACCAACAAAAGAACAGGTACAGATTAAGATGGAGTCTTGCACTAAACATAGGTTAAACTTGTATTTCAGACCAAAATATAACCAGAGGGTAGTTACAACCTGAACTGTCTAGGGACAAATTAATCCATCTATACTATTTTCCATGTATAGTGGAATATAACAATACAATCAGCTTGCAATGCCCAGTCATGTGCTTTCTGCTGCTTAGGTGAGTAATAAAAGCATTAACTTGAGGCATAGTCTTCCTCACATTGTATTTATTAATTACAAATTCCAGTGCTTTTCAGCAAAGATAACAAGGTGTAGAGCTAGATAAACACAGCAGGCCAGGCAGCATCAGAGGAGCAGGAAAGCTGA